TGTCATCCGTCTCTTTAACTGGTGATAAAGGTCGCTGCTGGTCACAAACCTTTGAGTCAACGAAACCTTTGATGGTAGAGTTAACGAGGTGTTTGGGGTACTTTAAACGCGAGAATGCTGTCTTCAATCGGTTACATTCGTCTGAGAAGTGTAACCAACAAAAAGATAAACGATATGCTCGATACAGCATAGTTCTAAGTAAACTCTGTTTGTACCGATTGTCAACATGACTCTGATAGTTTGGGTGCCAGAGGCTTTTGAAGCGCGATTTCCGGTTTCGGTCAAGTCTTAAAAAGTGATCCGAAACTAAACGGAAACGCTTGCTACCAGGCACCGCAGGCTAGGCAACCTCGTCCCCAGGGCGCTTTTCCCTGGCTTTCGAGGTGAGGCCACCTCCAAAGCCAGGCAAAAGCGCCCTGGGGACGAAGTTGAGATTCTGGGAGACAAGTGACCAGACCCAACCAAGACTCAACCCAGGTGTCTCGATGGGTAGGAGAGAGAACCTGGGAACGAGGTTGGTTGTTCATTTGGTACGAAACCTTTTGACACTACGCCTTCAATATTAACAGTTGTACGTTTTCTCACCTATTGAAGTTGCTTCCTCAAAATCCAAAACTTGCTCCCCGGCTGATGTGTCATTACTCTCATTCTCTACTTTTAGTTTACTCTCCGCCATTATGAATTCTCCGGATCTGGGGAAAAAAAATTCAGCAGAACGATCAACCCCAGCTCTGGTCCCATCGATGAAGAGAGGGGATGATTACGCTGATAAATCTCGTTCCTTGTCAACAGAGAACGGGTTTTCAAATGTCGATTTCCAGTTTACTGTTTTACATAGACTAAATATGCCATTTTTTGGCGGGGGTGGGGTTGGGGGAGGGCTGGCCTTTTTTTGCCAGTCACCTTTTAGGTACAATACCAATGTCCTTTAAAAAACGTAAGGTTTCATTAACAAAAACATACATGAGGCCAACTGATGATTGTTTAAGAGCCAAACACTAAACATTTTTGGCCTCTGTGGTTTTTCGTTTTCCACCTAAAAGGCTTTTTCGTTTTCAAGCTGCAGGAGGTTTGTTCTAAACCTGAAGAGTGCTTCGTTTTCTACATATAGGTTACTTCAGTTTTTGGTTGCGGTACACTCTCTTACTATTATGATGCGTCATGCGTCATTAGTAAACCTCTCACATAGCCATTTTCACAATTTTGGTTAAAACGAAAATAAATGCAGTACATTTTTCCTAGCGTGCATACCAGAGGAGACTATTACCATAGATTTTTAAGGGAAAAATATTTATTCGTAGTAATCGGAAGAAAATTTTGCGGCATTCATATTACTGGTATAAATACTGGCAAAGTCGAGAGAAAAAGTATTGTAAAATAAACGACAGATTCTTACGCCCTATTCACACCAAAGCTAAAACATGGTAACAGTATAAATTTCTTTTCCTTTTTAAAAAATGTCTGCTTGATATACTGTTCACTACAAAATTTATAGTGTTCAGTCAAAAAATACTTGAATTACTTGTTTTAAAAAGCCAGTTATTTAGCTTCAGTTTATGTCGCTCAATTATATTTCGTTAAAACTGGTTTAATTATTAACGCTTTTTGCTGGTCTGCATGGGAAAGACAAGAAGAAGGAAACCAGCAGTTGCCTCCGGGGTGAGAATCTCGGCGCAAAGGAATATGGTGGAGGTTAAAAAAGTAAATAGAATAAGTTGAATTCTGCCTTACGACTCGGCCCAAGCATATCAAACACTTACTGATATTTTTTTTATCTAAAAACTAGGCAATACGACAACCTCGTTGGGGCAACCAGAACTTCTGTCGTTATCATGACCTTTGAGCGGTTACATTAAAAGGGTTTTAGATAGGCTTTGACGGATTTGTGCTAGCATAATTTTTGGAATAATTCTTGGCCATAGTTTTCATCTATTTTCCGGAAAAAGCACTGGTAGCATAATCAGTTACATTTTGGCTAGCTTTACAGCACAAAATTGTCATTTATTGATTACACAACCAATTCCTTTTAGCCCGAGACCAGTATCACAAGCAAATCTAAGTAACAAAATCAATTTTTGTCTGCTTATTGTCACATCCATCATGACCTACATAACCTGAGATCAGGCTCTATCTTCGTTTCGCTTTGAAAATTACATTTTAGCGGGCAAGGCGAAACTCCACAGAAACTTTTAAGCTCTTAAGTAACGTGTCTTGCACCACCTTCGGGTTTCCGCTTTTGTCCTCATGAAAAATTTAAGAATAATAAAGTGTCAAAATAGAAGGAAACCTAAATGGAAGGTGCACAATTACACAGCATTAAAGGGGCTGTGTCACGGCAGTCCAGTTCATATTTTTTTAATTTTGCCGATTACTCCCCCCCCCCCCCCCCCCCACCGATTCCCCCCCCCCCCCCCCCCAATCGCTATGGAACTTAAAGTAAGCAAAGAAATTACAGGTAAATGACAAAATCAGATATCCGAGAGAAACAAATATGTCTCCTGAGCATTTCTTTGAAGTTGCAAGCAGCAGGGATCAACTTTGAAAAAATGTTAGGCTGAACAGTTTCAAAAACCCTAATTTCAATCCGTTTCAATCGTCTTCAGTTTGGCCCATCTGTGGCATCTGTTGTGTCTGTTATGTTATTTTAACCTTCCTTTAAAGTTTTAAGCGGTTATTTTTATGTTTCTCTTCATTTAACAGGCATTTTTTAACTTCCTAATTTTGCTGAATTTCGTGACACAGCTCCTTTAAACATGCACAATATTTGCTGTCTTAGTTTAAAAAAAAGTCACGAGAACTCAGTTAATTTTGCTTACCTGTATTCGCAATGAAGATTGAATTTTCGGATTTGTTTCACCGCAACTCTTTCTCAGCCGCTTCCTGATATGGTGATATGATAGGGGCGTCGTCTGAATAAATAGCAATTTGGGTAGTCACGTGTGATCGAACGAAAGTGAGGGATGTGTGTTGACATCCTCTTTGAACAACGAAAGTTGTTACTTAAAAAAGCCCTTGTATATTTACGTTATCAAAAGGGTATAAGTTGATAATATATTTAAGGCAAATGTGATTCATGACATCATCTCGCCGAAACCTTTGTGACTTTGAAACTGAAAAGCATGGTTTGAATATAGTATTGATTAGAAACTCCTAAATAAAACTGAATCATTAGTTTTGCTTTTTTTTATTCTGATGTTCTAAACGTAAAATTGGGAAAGCTGTTAAGAAAATTCACGGGGGTTCTCCCAAAATATTAGCTGGACAGTGATATAGATATAGGGGGTGCTATAGGTATGGGTATTGGTTCCTTTCCAGGCTTTTCGTCTGATCAATAATTTGGTCAACCGTTGTGGTCTAAAAAAGGAATCGTTTGGTCCGGAATTGAACACAGAACTTTTTATTATTTTTCACTTCATTGGGAGAGCGCTTTGACAATTACTATGAAGCCCCTTTAAAAACTTAAAAGGTAGAGGAACCATATTTTTCGTACGTCGATCAGGGGTACTCAACGTCAATTTTCGAAAAATATCTGTTCGAAAGACGATTTGAGATCTAGAATTTTCGGAACATTCTTTGTAAAATCGGAGCAGTCTCGAGTGGCAAAATAGGCCCTAAATGCTCCCTCGGGTACGTAGACAATCCGAAAACAGGATTCCCTTTATCCTGCCCACTCGCACGCCATTTTGACAGCCCGCTTCATTTTAATTCTAAACCTGAAATTTTTAATTGATAAAGTGACAATTCGAATACGATCCGTTTTATCATGTGACACCTGTTAGAATGTATGTTTACAAGTGCCCATTGCAGATCACGTGATTTTTGCAAGCGAATTGATCTTTTGCCTTGCAATAAATAAAGGATGTATGCAAGTATGATTATCTCCAATTTCCAAAAGACTGTGAGAACTCCCTTTTTAGTCAATGCAGGCTTTGCAGGACTTGCTATACTGAATACCCAACCACCCCCTGCCCCCCCCTCCCCTCCGCGCAATCCCCGTTTGCCTCCCTTGCCAGCCACTATAGCCTTCGTTCAATGTATTAATAAAACTTCTAAGTAACATGACTCGGAGGCTTTAGGACGGAAATTGCAAATTTTTCACGACTCCATTGTCTCACAATTTCCAGAAGAGACTTGAGCACGAAGAAAACCAAACCAAATATAGAAAAATGACCAGAAAGCCTCGGATTCATGGTAGAATTTTAATATATCGAACGTAGCCATTGGCAAAAAATGGGCTTACCTCTTATCTGTGTTAACCTAATAAAGTTTAAGGATTATTTCGCGCAAAGATGAATATTTCTTGCTCTTTTAAAACTTAGGGCCGAGATCAGTTATCTGTATATAAGGGGGTCTTAAAATAACTTACTTATGTTCACTGAAAATTTGGATTAAGCCGGTAAGTAGCCTGCGTCGAAGACGTACTTTAACATCGGTTAGTGACGTCTGCGAAGCATCGCCGAGATATATTCTCGTTGTAGGCCCCCAACGGACTCAACGAATTACCGGAGGTGCGTTTGGAATTTCCTTTATTACTGATTGGCAAATTAACGACGTCTTTTTTCACAGGACAATCATTGCGCGTATTCAAATCTTGGTACACAGTTGGGGCCCAGAACAAGGATTTAGGCGCTGTTTTGTAGACCGACTTAACCAGAGTTAAGTTTCGTCTGTGGCGCAGGCTAGCTGGTACGTAGATTACCAGATTTATGTTTAAAATCGCATCCTGGCCACAGTTGTGAGTGCAAAATGTCTTGGGCAGTTTTCTTGCGAAGAATATTAATTCACTAAAGGGGTGACTCTGAAGAAACAAGCTGGTCAAATTTAATTGATCTTTAGATATGGGGACGATATCGTTCTTGTAGCAACCAGAAACCAGGCTCCAGAGGGAAACAACACAACGAAAAGATACTGGGAACCAGTATAACTGATCATCTTTAAACGAAAACTTAATAGTTATATATTAAAACACCTGTTATACCGTTAAAGTGATCCGTGAAAAAATGTTACTGTGCCTTGTACTCGTCTTTGCCGAAACTGCATCGGGCTTAAGCCGTATTTCAGGATCTCGTTTTCAAGCTGTTAACTTTGCTAAGGCGAAAGAAGGACGAAAGTTGAATGGAAGCGTGATAAAAGAAATGCAAGTTGATACAGAGGGTGCGTGTAGGCTTCAATGTGTCAATGACGAGCAATGCCGCTCTTACAACTTTGGACTCAAGAAGCATAAAGCTGGGAATTTCCTGTGTCAGTTAAATGGTTGCCATAGATTTGTTGGTTTTGGTAACTTCACAAAAGATGACAATTTCAAGTACAGAGGAATAGAGGTAATTAACCGTCAAAAGAAAATTAGTTAAGGATCTTGGAAGAAAAGAAGATAGCAAGGAAAAATTAGAAGCTTGCTGGTTAGATTATCACTGCACTTATAGCGATTTAACGAGTGAAGACTGTTGTAAAAACATTTGAAATTTTCCGCACTCGAATGCTGCTAAACTCATTAAAACGTTATCCTAACAGAGCCTCATCCCGAATTGTAACAAGTTCTTAGTTATCAAAGATTTCCCTGAATGACCAAAGAGGTTTAACGTTTGACACTAAATTGGTCGGTGGCTTTACCAGTACTGAGGAAATCAAGAGCGAAGACGCAGTTTATATTGTACAAAAAACTGCGACTGTATTCTTTAAATTTGTTTTGTTCATATTTCTTTTTCTTGTACGTGATAAATAAAATCTGAAAAAACCTTACTATTTAAGGACAATGAATTATTAATAATACAAGGACCAAACTAACTCATTTATAACTCTTATTCAAAAGCCAATTTTGGAAGTATAATTTTCGTTGTCCTACATGAATTGACTGTCATGTTTAAAGAACAACAACAACGAACAACGGGTGGTAGAAGGATAGTTGCACGCAACCAGACTTTGTTTGCTAAACTTTTTTAATTGCCAAATAGTCTCATTATGTTAAAGCGTTTTGATCCCAGTTGGTCTCGCTAGTTCTAAAGATAACGAAACCTTTGTTTAAGATAAGCCCGTCTTGTAGTTTACGAACCATAACTCCGTTACAATGTAATACTTTATCCCATTGATATGCATTTTTGCATTTATGATTGTAAGCGCTAAAGCTTTTCGGAACTCGTTAGCATGTGTTAAAAACAAAGTAAAGAATTCTTACTTTCAAACGAGGCCACATAAATGGGCCGCTATTATGAAAAAAGCGATCTAATAAAAATCTACATGTTCTAAACGATTTCATGTAGCCATCTGTTTTCATGTCAACACAAGGGAAGAATTCCCACGTTTAATGTAGATTTTCTTGACATCCACGAAATCTTAATGGAAACATGTACATTTTGTGTTGAGTTAAAGATATTTTTCCCTTAACAGAGTGTCTGCGAGTCTGACAGCTTAAATCCTTGTGGTGACAAGGGAATTTGCATCCCAGACTACTCCACCGGCAGCTTTGCATGCAAATGTGACAAAGGCTACGGAGGAATATCGTGCGGTAAGGATCAAATACTTTTCCCAACCTTTTTCGCCGCCGTCTTTAACGTTATCTACGGCTACGGCAACTATGGGCTATTGTATATTATGCTCGCATTTTTTTCCAGCATTATATTGAGGCAAAAGCATTAAGCATTGTTCCAGCATTTTAGTGGAATTTTCCAGGAAAACCATTTTTCAACTACCTGTTTTGGAGAAAATGAAAATGAAAAAAGAAATTAGAGTAAAAGAGCACTTTAAGTCGAAATTCCGAAAAAAGATTCAAATGCCACCTTATCCCAGCAAATTAGAATATTCAACCAATTAACCTGTATACATTATTTTCAGTCAACAAAAGAAACAAAAACCTGATTTCTTTCCCTTTCAACCCACTATTTAATTTAGATGGCGGTTCACAAAACTGCTGCAGTTTCGTCTTACGACCTCTTCAGTGGATCGCTAAACAGACACGTCACGTAGCAATGCACGAAAAATAACCCCTAGAAATGAGGCTATTGGGTTACAAGAGTCCTTGGGAAACGGACGTTTTTATGCGTTGTTGTTAAGCCAAAAATATATAATATTTCATCCCAAACGTTTATCAACCGCTATTTAATTTCTCTCTTTTAGAAAAAGTATTAAAGAGCTGCTCTGAAATCACCCCATCCGGTCTGTATTACAACATCCCAGATGGTGGTAAGCCAATACAAGTGCTTTGTGACACGACTACCGACGGTGGAGGTTGGACTGTCTTTCAGAGACGTTAAACGGCTCCCTTGATTTTTATCGTGGCTGGGAATCTTACAAGAATGGGTTTGGTGATCTAAACGGTGAGTTTTGGCTTGGAAACGACAATCTTCATCGTTTGACAGCCGCCGATGATGTCATACTTAGAGTTGACTTGGAGGACTTTGATGGCAACACGGCTTACGCTGAGTATACTACTTTTAAGGTCGCTAACGAAGCCGATAAATACCGTATTTTGGTTGACGGATACAATGGCACAGCTGGAGACTCGATGCAGGGTTCATCGAAGAGGCTAAGGTAACGAAATATTTATTTGCCGGCCCACTTACTCTGAAATTTTATAAATCAAAGATGAAAACAAATTTTGTCAGCAAAGCTCCATACTGACTTTCGGTGAATTTTGGTTTAGAAACAATGATTTTCACCGATAACTAAACCGCCAATAAAGTCATGCTAAGAGATAATTTTGAGGACTAAGACGGACTAAGACGGACGCTTGATCATGAAAGAAAAATATTTTGCAACAGATAATAAAGGGATACAATGGTAAGCCTGGTTACTCGATGCGAGTCCGAAAATCATTGTAATGTTTTAAGCTGCAAGAACAAGACTTAAATATTTCAAATGCAGAATCGATGTTAATTTTTGCCCAAGAGAACAAGTCGTACTTTAAGGGTTTAGGGTTAGGGTTAGGGTTAGGGTTAGATGGCGATTTTATCAAAAGTTCATTAAAAAATTTGCATTTCTCTCAATGTAAAAAAAAAATAGAAATGTGGTGATTTCACCTACTTAACCTTTCTAAGCCTATGTGCAGTGAAACTCCGTTAATGCGACCACCGTCTGGCCACGGAGTATAACGACTTGGTCGTATATACGGGTTTTCAAGATAGTCGTTAAAAGTGGCCCCCTCACAAGTGTTTCGTGCTCACTCGTCTTTGCACCGTCGTCCCCACTATCTGAATAGCCTGCATAACAGGCGCTTTAATTTATGAGCCAAGCGAGGCGAACGCGGCATTGCGCGAAGCGATAAACGAGCGGGAGGCCCGAGACGAGGGAAGAAAATCGTCTCGCGATTCGCGCAAAATGCTGCGTTCGCCACGCTTGGCTCGTAAAGGACATAAAGCGCCTGTTACGCAGGCAAGGCAGGATTCCACTGTAAAATAAATAACTTAGTTTTGTTAGTTTGTTTGTTTTTTGAGAACTTCCACGACATTTGTTTTTACGGACTGAGTGCTCTTACGAAGTATATTAGAACATATATTTTGTGGTTTAATTTTATCCTTGGTTTAAATTTTATTTTCCTTTATTTCAAAATCATTATCATCCATTACCAAACAGTGACGGATCCAAGACCTTCAGATAAGCGGGGGGGCGGTCACAAAAATATATTTTTTCTGCCCTTCGGGCCTCAGTTTGGGTTAAAAATAAGGGGGGGCCCAAGGATACAATTGAACCACACACGCAACATATACATGACGTTCTTACAAGCAAATCTTTTTGTATATGATTTGTGCCGTTTACCTTTGTCCGCAGAAACATGCAGTTTACAACCAAAGATGCCGACAACGATCAGAACAACGGCAACTGCGCTGTGTTATTCAGGGGAGCGTGGTGGTATAAGTCTTGTTCTTGGGCAAATCTCAATGGATTGTATTATGGTGGACCCTATAGCAGTCAAGAAAGCGACGGAGCAAAATGGAAAACGTTTAAAGGACACTTTTATTCTTTAAAACGTACTGAGATGAAGTTAAAACCCAAGCCGTAAGGCGTGTACAGTTTATTGCAAGTTATGAGGCTTTACCCACTCAAAAACTACCGTGTTATAGCAAAATATTTCGATTCATTCTCAGTTTAAGGCCGGCCGAATATTTTATCCCGTTCCTCGCTTTCTTGTAGGTAAACCCATCAATTTGTGAACCAGTTTTTTATGGCTTTTCTTTTCAAAGAAGCCCTAGAAATCATCGCTTATTACACAATTCTTTTTGGAACGTGTTCCGGTGTTGAGGATCGTTGAGGAAATCGAGATAACTACAAATCCAGTCAGCGTCTGTTACGCCTCAGGGCTTCTAAGTATTGGAACAGTCTGTTCATAACGATATTAGAAACTCTGCCTCTGTTGAGGTTTTTAAAACGAGTGCCAGGCTTGATTTATCAGAATGCGGAAATAGAGTTTGCCGTAGTTTGTTGATCTTTTTTAATTAATTGTTTACTTGCTTTTTAATTTTCATAATTGTAGTTGTAACATTCAAATTCAATTGTAACTTAAGTTTGTCTTTTAAACATGTAATTTTTAGTTATTTCGTGCATTACTTAGCCTAATGAGTCCTGTAAATCAATTCTGAAAAACCCAATTGGGAGAATAAAAAAATATATCATATTGTATTGTACTGAAACTACAGTGGAACCTCGGTTTAACAAAGTGCCAAGGGACTGGGGAAATTTGTTCGTTATATCGAGGGTTCGTTATATCGAAAACCCGGATTTAACGAATTTTTTTTGGGAGGGGAACAAAATGTTCGTTATATCGAGGTATAGTTAATGATTAATTTCCAACGCCAGCATTTCAGGATCTGAACAATTTCTGTAATAAAGATTTTGTATACGAAGCTATTAGCCTGCTTAAGATCCGACAACGGCAGACGTCTGTGACGGCGAGCGGAAGTGAAATTACTACTAGAAAGACTTCCGGCTGCCGCCCTAGCGGCCTTGTCTGTGACGTGAAGAAGGCCATTTTGCCGTCGCGTGTAAAACGTGAGTAAACTTGATCAAAATAATGCCATTTAAACACATTTTGAGCGAAATTCTTTAGCACTGTTAACAGTTTATTCTCAGTAGACCATTTTTGTCGAATTTCTAAGCGACTTAAACGATTTGAACACGGTATTTAAATTAAATTTGTTTGCCCTCTCTAAACAGTTTGACTCGTTAATCGCCATGGACTCGGTCAACACGACAAAGAAAGCAACCCAGTAAGTTTTACAAGTTTTTTCTTGTGTTTATTGATGTGTTTATTAACAATTATGATATCGTAGACTGTTTTGGCATTAAATTGAGGTCCAATGGATTATGTCACTCATCTTTTCGTCAAGCCTCTCGAGGTCAAAATTTTCGTAATTCTGGTAGGGAAAATCCGGATTTTTAGATCTGTTGACATCATACAACAGTAAATATTCATCTTCTGAAATGTCGCCATCATCGAAACTTGTCAGTAACAATTCACGAACCTTTCTAAAAGTAGTCATCACTCTTGTATTTATTTCTAAACTTCAACAGGAAAAGGCGCTACAACAACCCGCCGTCGCGCGAGCTTTCTTAATGCTATTTTTCGCACCATTGCGACGGCGACCTCACCCCAAGCCCCCTCGACCAAGTCTGCCGTCGTAGAATCTCGCCGTCGTCGGATCTTAAGCTCACTATTGTCACAGTTCAGGGCTGTACATCATAGCTACGGCACTAGAAACACAAGAACAGGCTGACAACTACTGTAAACATAAATTTTATCCTCGTTGGTCTGTTTTGCATTCATCTTTAGCTATCTTTCCGTCACATGTTGACATGTTATATTTTCCGTTTCGTTTCGAAACACGAAAAAATTACTTAATTCTGATTGGCTGAGAAAGGAGTGCAGCTCTTCTGTAACACGAGTGCAAACTTGTAACACGAGTGCAAATTACAAATGCTCTCTGATTGGCTGAAAACACAAAAGAAACCAACAAGAACCTATCAGATTAGAGATGTTTTAACAACAAACATTCAAGAAAATGGCCATGGTTTTCAGCAGACGACGGCGGGATTTAATTTTGTAAGCAAAACAACAATAGAAAAGTTAAAAAATATATTCCAAAAAAACCCGAACACAGTAAAAAGTACGTCTTTCTGGCTAAATGTATTGAAAATGCGTTGCCAAGAGAAAAATACTGTCAACAAAATCGAGGAAAATGAGCCACAGAAACTGGAAAACAAGCTACTTATAACAGACTACGCTAAAGTAAAATCAAAGAAAGACTATCGTCAACTCGTGGGTACGTTGTGTAGAAAATAATCAATTAGTTATCACCTCTGGTTTTCCCACAGTGAATTTTAGGAAATGATAGAAATTCATATTATAAATATACTATCCTTGTTCTGGAAACACAATACTTTTCTTGCTGTTTATTGCACTTTAGTAACAGTTATTTAAGTATATATTTAAAAACAAAACCAAAAAAACAGCAAAACAAATAAGCAAACAAGAGAAAACAAAAAAGAAAAAAAAAAGGAAGAAGGGAAAAAGAAAGTCTTCAGCAGGATTTGAACCCGGTACTGTCGGTTCGACTCGACCTCACATAGCCACTACGCCATTGAGGATAAGCGCATGACGTTGGGAAAAGTCTCATATTTAATGCCTTTTCCATGGAACTTCCGCCGGCAAACGATCGAGCCATAAAAACGACTCGAAGCAATGGGATGAAATTAAGGCTAATTGAAACCAGGCTACTGACAGTAAAAAACAATGTAAACGCATTTCATGACAATGAAAGAACATATGCGTTACAAAGCCGACACAACTCCTCCGCGAAGTAGGACGCAAAACATTAGCTTATGTTTTCTTATCTCGATTTCCGCTTTTATTTTAAAAAGGTAATGCTCAAACTCACATCCATTTTCCCCCCCGTGATCTTGGGGAGTCCTTAAGAAGAAGAAGTGCCTTTATTTACCATATATTTCACCAGTCCGTATTTTATAGTCCGTATTTTATACCCAGTCCGTGTTTTATACTGACCGCCATAAATTCATTCATACACATAACTTACTAGAGTACTACAAGGTAGGAGATCAAGCCAGCGTCGAAGTTGAAGGAGTCGAAGAGCAAATGCTCATCTTCTTGTCAAGTTTAGCGCACGATGCACGCTCGCAGCGAGGAATTTGATGCTACCGAACTTCGACGAGCGCATGCTTCTTTGGAAACGATACATCTTCGCGCTCTCGAGTTCGGACCCGATTAATTACGAAGTGCGTCTCCTACGAGTGAGTGAGTGACTCATTTGCATATCTCAGTCCCTGCAATAACTGGTGGTACGCTCGCGCGTACCCACGAGTTAAAAATAAAGAACAAAAACGGTTGCAACCAGACACAAACCATGACAGCTACCGAATGAACAAGGATACAATTCCATGATAACAACAGGGATTTCAAGTCATGTACGTAATTTGTTGCTCTCTTTGAGTCTTGTGGAGCGAAGACCTCTATTAAAACATCCATGCGATGGTCTGTGTTTTTTTCTACCTCAGTAGCAAACGAAACCGAAAATTTAAACATCCGGGCCAAACTAGACCAATGGGCGAAAATACCACAACTCACATAATGAAAGTATCCGCAGCTGGTACTAGCCTTAAAGAAAGTGAGAAAAAAGTTTACGAATCATTGTACAAGAAAAACAACAGTCAGGATGCTGAAGAAGCAAAGATTGTAAGTTCAGAACATATCGTCAGTGTCACAGGCCACAGAGGTATAAATTTCCTTAACGACCACGATGAAGCCGGCGAAGAAGAGCTGCGATGGCTCTTGCAGTAGGCCAAATAAGATAATGAAAACTCCAGCGCTGATGAAAAGCAAATATTATATTAATACTGGCAGTTTCCAACATCACAACAACTGTGGCTCCACTCACCCATCGATGGCAGCGTCGAAGGAAAACAAATTGCCTCCTTCATTTTTGGGTTTTAAATCTCAAAAATTTGTCCATGAATCCGGCTATGATGAGGTCCCAGGAACAGACAATGATAAACAGTCGTTGAAAAACCTTAGCAAGTGTCTTTCATCTTTGGCTGCTCTAAGCGTTCTCATGATTTCAAAACGGCAGTATACTTCTTGAAAACGCTTCTTGTAAACGCCGAGCTCTCATAATCGAGGATGAATTTAAAAACACTTACTTTTCCTGATTGTTGTAAACCAAGTTATCTTTAACCGGCTGGTGACCATATAAAAAAAATCCTTGCACATTTCCAAGTTCTCAGCTGAATGATTTTGAAAGCATTGGTCTTGAAAAAGTTTGAATTTGACAAAGGTAGTAGTCTGTTTCAGCCAATCAGTTGAATGAACTAAAAACGCGCGCGCTGTCAAAATTTGTTGTTGTAGTTATGTTTTTCGTGTATATCATTAATAAGTAATCACATGATTTTTCTCGTGCGATTTGGAATAAATAAGTACTTGTAAATTTTTCAACGACCACAAAGTGCACTCGCCTTACGGGCTCGTGCACTTTTGTTGGTCTTTGAAAAATTTACTCGTGCTTATTTATTCCAAATTGCACTCGAAATCATGTGATTACCTATACTTATTGTGTTCGTTAGTCTATAAAGAGGATTTCGTTAAATCGAGGTTCTGTTCCATACATTTTATTGTACCTTTGGGCGGGTTGAAGAAAATCGTTCGTCATACCGAGAACGTCGTTATATAGAGGTTCGTTAAATCGAGGTTCCACTGTACAATGCGGGTAACGTAGGTAACAATTAGAGACCTTTAGATACAAGGACTGAGGACGACTACGAGCACGGGATTTGGCTTTTACGTTTTTTCGCGTTTTCTTAAAATATAGATTCCTCCCCGGTAAGCTTCCTTCTACCAGTTTTCAATAGAAAAGTTAGCACTGTTATCTTTAGTGAAGGAGGTTACACCCTCTCCCGGCCGCATATGATAAGACTTCTAACATTTGATAACTTGTCTCCACCACTTCGCATTCTCGCTAGCTCGCTAAGACTCGTAGTAGGGTGACGACGGCTACC